TATTATAAATTTAGCTGTGATAAAGCGATAACAGTTGAATACGTATAAGAATTGAATACGTTAATAAGCAGATTTGTATTGAACCTTTGCTGTTATGATGTTATTGCTCTGCTGTGTTGAAGTTGTTACAGATAACAGACGCATATTAAAGAAATTTTGAGCTTGAACTCAATGAGATTCCGGTAAGAGTACAGTAAAATATTAAAATTAATGAATGTTTAAGAAAATATTTAATATTATTGAATATCCTACAGTTTTTGTGGTTTGCTATCTATTGACTGAATACGAGCAGATACCTGTTATTTATTTACATTTGCCAACCCAGAAGTAGGCTTGTTGGCGTACGATTAACGCTCGTCGCTAAATTTAAATTATTACCAAACAAATTCTATTTTTCAACTGTTGAATAGGATTCGCAATTAGTTAATAATTTCCATCATAAGTAGTATAAATTAACATCCTTACACGTTTACTTATGGCGTAGAAGAGCTTTTATTATAATTAACAAGTCACATTTTTTATACAATTTTAACTCCGGCCAACCCCAACGAAGATGCAGACCTTTAACGAATGGCCCCAAGCCTTTGAAAGTGTATTTTTTCGTTTGTAATTTAACATAAATGACACAATGAAATACTTTTTAAATATGCAGAGCGCGCAAGAAAATAACCCAGTAAATGCATATCTAGTATATAGAAATCGAGTCCTCAAGCTAGAAAAATTGGCCAGAGAGAGAAGTAACCGCTTCAAAACTGCAACGTTCTTGTACCCACTGTATTTAAATTAAATAAACTAAGACAGCTTTTGCTGGTTTAAACAAGAAAGGGACCAGTTTGTCAAAAATTAATTTTCCCTTTTGTCAGCATTCATCTTTCAAAAACTGCTGCTGTCGAATTTGCAATAATTCTAATCCTGATCTCTCCTTCCATTGAAAATGCGGAATTCAAGTGATATTTTTTGCCTAAAAGAACTCAAAGATGGAGATACCAATGGAACTCAGCTATTTTCCGTCAACGGTCAATGTCAGTTACCTAAAGTGAGTCGCAGGCGAAACCTGCATAATGGATCTGCTAGTTTTGAATACGGATCAAGCATTGATCAGAATCTAACGCATCTCGCAGACGAACACAGATTTGTGGAAGAAAAGGATGATCACCTACAAATCATGGAAAAAGACTTAAATGAGCTTTACGAAACCGAGGACGGCCCCGATTCCTCCGAATCTTTAGACGCAGTTTATGACGAACTTACTAGAGGAGCTCCCTGTGGTTTATCCCCAACTAAAAAGAAGGAATTGTCAGCAAAATATTCTACTAGAAGTAGTCCAGATGGGAAAAAGCAACATTTTCGCAAATTAAATACTGCTAAGGAAGACTCCAGACCGACAGAATCAGCTATGTCCAGAAATCCACTAACCGGAGCTGGCATTGAAATTGAAACTCATCGGAAGCCCAAGAAAGGACCCGCGAGACTATCAAACTGGGCGGGGAGTGGAATTGGGATGTAATTTGATAATTGTTTACCCAATATAATCAATTCAACAAAATGTACATGGTAGTAACTGTTTATTACTTTAAAGGTTATCAGTCAAATGCGCAAGCAAAGGAACAGGTTTTCGACTATCATACTGTAAACAAAAAACACGCAAAAATAACCTCTGACTTTTTTTTAACAAAAAACGTAAAACTGGAGCCCATTTCCATTTGCATATCTGAAACGGTTCTTTGGAAACAAGCTTCATATGATCTTGATGAAAAAATACGAAGCAGCCCAAAATATTCCGAAAGTTTAAATCGGAACCAAGTCCGCACAATGAGTAAGCTAATGCTTCTTGTATTGAATACTGGAACTCAATTTTTTAGATCTGAAGCGGTTTTTCAGCGAAAAGCTTCAGCTGAGCTTAATATAAAAATACAAAGCCGCTCAAAATATTCCCAACGTTTAAAAATTTACTACGAAAGAACCAATATTCTCAATCGATACCATATCCACACTACGAGTCAGTTGATGAATTTGTGACTAAAAGTTTTATATGTGCATGGCAACCAGGAGCAAAGTAATGCGAAACTTACGGAAAGCTGGATAGTGTCACCTGAAAAGAAAGAAGAAAATGTCTTTAGTTCAGCAGAAAATCTGTCCAAAATTATTTGAAATCAGCCATGCAAAGAGAGAGAAATATAAAGAATCCATAAAACTTTAGTTGCTTGTCGGAAAACTCAGTTCAAGCTAAACGGTTTCTAACTAGAGATCATTCATTCTTACCAGCTTTTAGCAAGCTAGCTGGCGCCTCATCCTCCATTTTCTACCCATTAATCATCATGTTCACTACACTTTCACAAACTACCGCACTTGCCATAAGGGCCATAATGATTCTATATTTTCCATCTAAGAACGCGATTCACACCACACAAAGGATTATCGACCGATTTCGTCCACTGTTGGTTGCAAACTAAACACTCATACACATTTTCGAGAAAAAAGACACCGAAGTACTGAATAAACAAGATTATTTAATGATTTGCATTCGCCCTTTTGATGATTCATTGCTCCGCTCTTGCTTGGGAGTTCGATTTCAGTTTGTTTATTGCTGACATTTTTTCCAACGTTCCAACTTAACGAAATACAAAAACAACTAAACGAAAAACGCTCCAAGTACCGATCTTTCAGTAATTTAATTTTAAATTTAGAGCAATTTATTTTTGTATGAATTTCACTCAGCTTCAGTGATTAATGCACACCGCCAAAACTGAAATTAATAACCGAATTAAATATTGATTTTCGAAAAATACTGACTAACAAAAAAAAACCGCGAAGAAATCATTTAAAAATTAAACTGTTGCTCAATTTAGGAGCGATGATAGAAACCAACAAAATTTCAATTTATTGAAAATGTCCTTTAAAAGTTCTGATTTCAAGGATTATTCCGCCTCAAGCGCAATTCGAGGTGCGGCGTAGTGAGGCGCGATAACGCACCAACTCACAGAGCAGCCTAAATGCAAAAGCGCAACTTAACACAGTGTTACCCAGGCCTGCACCAATCTTATATATATGTTCGACCCTATCACGATTATCTAGAGACCTCTGAAGATGAAGACTGTCATCAAGAGATGTTACTCTACATAATAGCTTCATGTCGTCCACATATCAGAGGGCATTTACATCAACAATTTAATTTATAAAGAGGTTGAACAACAGAGGACCCAAAATTCTGCCCTGTGGTACATCCGACGTTTCCACAAACTTTATAATTTCAAAAAAATATTATAACATTATAAGAGTTTTATAGCATTGTTTTGTCTCTCTTATTTAACAGCAATAAGAAAGCAAATCATTACCATTTTCTAAATTACTGCTGTTTTCTTGCTAAAGAAAAGGTGCAAATTTGTGTAAAGTTTCCAATTTAAAACAACTTAAAAAAATGTATTTGAAAGCTATACGTTAGTGTGAGATTTAAAGAGAAAAGTAGGTATGCATGATGTAATAAAAAGGTGTAAGTCGTCCAACCAGTAAATCATTAGCGCATTCAATAAACTGTCAACCATATTCAAAATTGCGACAGTTGCTTCAAACAAGTTTCACAAATTAATATCCATTTTGTTTGTAAAAATGCATAGTGCTAGCGACATTTTCTGCCTTAAAGAACTTAAAGAAGGTGATACCAACGGAACGCAATTATTTTCGGTAAACGGTAGCAGTCAATTAACCACATTAGGGAGAAGAAAATATGTTTATAATGGCTCATGCAGTTTTCAATATGGATCTCCGGCCGCCGAAGAGAATATTTTGCCTGAAATTGTAGTCAAAGCTGAAAATATCGAGAACGAAGACAAAATTAATGACGATTCTGAAACTCCAGGTCATTGTAAAGACCACCTGGAATTAATGACGTTAAGTAAATCAGATCCATCAGCAGTATCTGAAGGAATTGAAAATGATATCACCATTCACTGCTCGAAAACGTCTGAGCCCGAGTCCAAAATGTCCCTTAGTCATGCAGAAGGTGATATGAGAGAAGGCTTAACAGTATCACAATCGGCCATTGCAAGAAATCCCCTAACAGGTGCTGGGATGGACCCTGCAGCTCATTAAACATCGAAATAAAACACTAATGAACTGGAATAATAAAAATAATAACTAACTCTGAGTGTTAAAATTATCTCGTAAATTGAAAATAAACTCTAATGCTGATTTAAATTTAGAGTAATGTGGTTTTATCTCACTGTTGATAAAAGAATTAGTTTATGTTATTCAAGTATGTGAATGTGCGAGTAGAGGAAGTAAGTGCGACTAATTATAAAATCAAGCGTATTATAATACCCCAGCCTCTTGCTCTCCTTGACCCTTAACCGGCACAAATTGTTTTAAAACTGGACGACATAAATTCCGTCATATCATCTGTTATGCCAGTCATCCTCCGAAAGACTTCCATTCCTCCTGCCTGACATTGCTTTTGTAATACCTTGTCTCCACGTTATTGGCGCGATCGTCCTTCTGCTGCTTTTTTTCTGGGGGTTTCCACTTCAATATGTTCAACGGCAGTCCTTCTTCCCCCATGCGTCTTACGTGTCCGTAAAATCTAAGTCGCTTTTCAATGTCTTCTATGATTGTTCCTTTTACTTTAATTTGTTATCTTATGTCCTCATGTTTCACATGTTCCAAACCAGATATACCTTCCGCTCTTCTCCACGAAACGACCGAAAATGGGAGTTAGTGCACGCAAAGTTTGAGCAACAGAACGCAATTTTTAATAATAAATTTGGATTATTTGTAAACATTGTTGAAGCGTCAGCTTTTCCAAGATTAAATGGAAGACATTCACAAATACAAATATTGATAAAACTAATGGGTTTTTCGGGTTTTTACACCGTCGTTGGGTAGAATTTCTTCTTGACGTTTCGCAAGCACGAGTGGCTTGCATCTTTAGAAGTGGTTTGCTTGAAGGCTTACACTGTTCTGACGAGGCCTGTGTCATCGGAGCCTGCGCATTCTTTTGGCTGTTGCTATCCTCCGGTGTACTGGATCCTCTCTCCTGTCCTGAGCTGTTGCTTTTTCTTGCTGTTGGTGAGTGCTGGAAACCATATCCTGTTTAGCGCCATTGTCTGTTCTTTTCTGTTGAAATTGTCGTCGTGTTTGTGGATTTCAATGGCTTCTCGTATTAGTCGGGGGTGATAACCTGTTGTTGTGGCCAGTACCTGTGCCTCTCCGAAATAGATGTTGTGTATTCCATCGCTGAGGGCGTGTTCCGCCACTGCCGACTTTTCCACATGTCCCAGTTTACAATTCCGTCGGTGTTCTTCTATTCTCGTCGCTACCGATCTCTTAGTAGTTCCTATGTAGACGCTTCCACAGGAGCATGGGATCCGGTAGATTCCTGCAGTTGCGAGGGGGGGGTCTTCTGTCTTTAACTGACTTTTCCTCAGGAGCCTCCTAATTTTGTCCGTAACCCTGGGAACAAAGGGCAGGAAAGCTTTCAGAGTGGATTCACTTTTTTCAGCACGGCCCTCTCCTACAGCTTTTGTGATGTCCAACTGGGATTAACTGTTCTGAAAAAAGCTTTTTCCAGGTGCTGTAGTTCTGTAGTTAGATGTCGTGGCCCACATGTTTTTCTGGCTCTATCCGTGAGAGTTTTAATGATTCCCTGCTTCTGACTCGGATGGTGGTTAGATAGATTGTGAAGATATCTGTCTGTGTGGGTGGCTTTTCGATATACCTTGTGGTCCAAACGATTCCGCTGCCTAGACACCAAAACATCCAGGAAGGCCAGTTGGTGGTTTTGTTCAACTTCCATGGAAAATTGTATGTCTGGATGCTGTTTGTTTAGATGGTGTTATGAATTTTTATTTTTCCTCTCGGGCGTGAGTATGAGCAGGAGCTAGTATTTCGCGGCTAGCGTGCAAGATTTTCGAACAATTGATGGACGACACAAAATCACGCACACTCAAGTTCCACGGAACAACTGATATATTAGATAAGTTCTATATTGTTGAGGTGGATTCATTTTTTACAAACTTCTTTTTGGGTATTTCGCCTCAAAAATTTTTTTGAAGAATTTCCTCACGTCTTTTATTACAGATTGATAAATAGTGCTCCTCTTTTGCAATAAGAACGAATTATTTATCAAAAAGTAATCAAGAACTATCACCTAGAGGGTATCCTGCGACACACTTAGGCTCAAGCTGTAAGAGAAAATTCCAATTAGTAGAGAAATTAATTTGAAAAATTACCTTGACGTTTCGATAGCTATTTTCTGCTATCGTTATCAAAGGAACGTAAATGAACCTAAAAAAGAGTATGTTAATAAATTGTGTATCAATAGTAGGATAATACAATATATGAAAATTATTATATATATTATCCTACTATTGTTACACAATTTATTAACATACTCTTTTTTAGGTTCATTTAGGTTCTTTTGATAACGATAGCAGGAAATAGCTATCGAAACGTCAAGGT